TTTCTTTTTGGGGTTTTTGTTGAAAAAATGTGACCCCCACCCCACAAATGTGAACCCAGATCCGCCCCTGCATTCTTATAATGTTCACGAACATTGCAGTTAGGCATGTAACAAAATAAGGTTCACACAACGTTGTAAGAATCGTATCTCACCTGCATGTTTAATCAAGTTTGATAATAATTGATCTTATTGTTTTTAGACTTATTATGATAAATTCATAAATAAATAATAAATGAATAGAATACTAATTTAGTATGGGGTTATTCTATAATTTGAGCATTACCGTAACCCCAACTTGTGAACTATTATCTGTACAGACTCCCTAAAAACAGGTCCGTTGTATTTTATGAAAGGAAAGGTAATTTTATTGTTTATACAATTTATAATTATTATAATAACTATAAATATTTTTTTTGTATATTTATATACAGTATTTGTTGACAAGACCTCAGCATACATAATATAATACTTTATTGCAAATACTGTATATAATAGTTCATATTCTTTTTATTTCAAAGAGAAACATATTTATATTTTATCTTTTTTAATTTTAAACAAAAATGGAAAAGAGATGTATGATAATTTTGTATTTTCTAATTATTATGAACATCTTAGTTACTGTTTACGATAAGTATATAAATCTCAACAGTATCAAGTTTTTTTCTTTAAAGTATGAGAAGTTTTGGCAAGTCAAATGGCTGGGTGGATCAGCACTTGTTTGAATGGCAATTATTATTAGTCTTCTATACATTTTAAATTATGATGTTTACTCTTTCAATTGTGTTTTGTTTCATGGTTTTTAATTGTCTTTGCGAGTTATGTTTATTTTGTTAAAAATAAATAGGGTCCTCCCTCCATGCATGGGTGAGCAGAGTGTGAATGAAAACCAATATTACATAGCCATTCATAAGGCCTATTAGAAGTCACGTCTGGATGGCTCGAAATTGTCTCTTTAACATCAAAATAATTATGTTAAAAGTAGTTAATTCATTCTTGTAATTGTTTTATAAATTGTATAAGTGTTTAATAGTGTCTGGAATTTTGTGTGCCTCGCATGACTCGCACTGTAATTGGTACACATCCCTTTTTTTATTTGTTATTTATTATTTAGGCACACAATACATGTGCCAAGGATTGTCAATAGCGAATATATCACTGTCCTACTTGTAGGCGACAATCCCTTACACAAGACAAACATACACACATGATGCTTTACACAAACTAAATCTCAATACTAGGCCTACTACATACAGACAGTACTAGGCCTACATACAGTACTACTAGCTACTAGCTAGGCCTATAGGCCTACCTAGGAATTGAGGCATGCCAAAGCAGGCTGGGCTATCTTACAAAAACACTCATTGCTATATTACTTTAATTAGCCTAGGCCCAGGCCTAGTAGTACTACTTAAAGTTAGGCCCAGCCTAACTAAACTAGCCTAGGCCTAGGCCTAGTGAGGCCTAGACCTAGCTAGGTAGGCTAGGCTAGGCCTAGCTTGGGTTGGGCCAGGCTGATGTTTTACAACAGGGAGTTGGCGAATACAACAGCAATAGACCTAAAAGAGACTATCGTATCTAATCCTATAAGAACACGACTAGCCTGACTACACAATTATTATTAATATTGTAGTATTAGGCCTACCTTTCTTCTCACACTAGGCCTAGGCCTAGCTAGCCTTGGCCACACGTATGTTCCCAGGGGAATATGTACCGCGCGTGCACGAGTTACATCTACCTAAAGCGAATGTGATTGGTCAAAAGTGGTAGCTATCGTTGAAAGCAAAGATACTAGAAATACAATAGCGACATGCATAGTAAAAAAATGAGGCGTAGGCGGCGCCCTTCTTTTTTATAATGCAAGTTTTCTATACTTCCTAAGATAAGATCTTTGGCAGAAACATAGAGCTATTAAACAACTAGAGTGCTGACAAGATGGCGAAGCAATGCAGAGTTATGTATGTGTACCATATACCTATTCGCCTGAAAATTGTGTTTAGTTTTTGGCATATATCATATTATTATTAAAATAATATATTTCAGTGGAATAATTAAAAAAAAAAAAGAAAAAGATATTTACAAGAGAAAACGGTGTTTAAAAAAATAATGCAATGAGAATGCAATAAAATAACCATTATTTACAGTAGTTTAATGATTTTGTTATTTAAAAAAATTATAAGATGTGTGAATTTAAAGGATATTTTGTACCGCTATCTATTTGATCTTGTGGAAATCAACTTGTTACATTTGAAAGTGTCTTTTTATTTTTTTTATTTTAAGGAATGACTCTTTTTCCGTCATGTTTTTTTTTTTATTTAATTTTTTTTTTGTGCTTTTATTTAATGTTAAAAAACCACTTTAATATTGTAATGTTTGTCATGTCTTTTGAAGATGAATACATCTTTGGTATACATTATTATTACCATAAATAAGCCCTCTGACTGACTATTATTTCATTAATGATAATGAGTAATGGTAATAACAAATTATTAAACTATCGTAGCCAAAATGAGGCCAAGTGGAGCATCTTATTCAAAAATAAAGTACCGAGGAATGAAAATTAAAATCGTGTACATTACACCCAAACACCGCAACGCTCGAGTTTCACACATACGGGTCACTAGCTGTACTGAACTTTCTGTGTAAATTGAGGGCGCAATTGCAAACGATGGTGCTTAGGCGAAATTTGATTGGCTAAATCTATGGCAGCCACCTTGGATGTGCCAAATTGACGCTTCTATTTGTTACGCGTAAATCGCGGAGAACGCTATCTTGTGTTTATAAGATCTTTGCAGAAAAGTAATCAGTTTTGAAAGAGGGCGTCTTAGGCGTTGCCATGAATCTGAGATAGGGTGTTCGCGTTACGCCAAAGTTCGTTACCGAAGTACGTTAATTTGTTCCTTATGTTCTAAAGAGAGGACGCATTGTAAATGGGACGCTTCTAATTGTTACGCGTAAACGTATAGTCGCGCGGCGGTACGCCATGGTCAGAGCAGTCAAGGTTCAAAAGTTTCCAATTTTGCAAGAGGGCGCCGTTCATGCGTTATTACAGAATTTGCACGCGTAAATCGGGGAGACCGCTATCTTGTGTTTATAAGATCTTTGGCAGAAAGTAATCATTTTTGGGAGAGGGCGTCCTAGTTGTTGCCATGATCTGAGATAAGGTGTTCGCGTTACGCCAAAGTTCGTTACCAAGTACGTTGTTGTTCTTTAATTATTCCTTAATTGTAAATCGACGCTTCTAATAATTGTAAAAAAAAAATAAATAAAAAATAAATTAGAATATACGAAGCTATAATTTTGTTAAATATCATTATAATGATAAGCTAATAATAGAGGGACTGTTATTATGATTATTAACATGATATTTGTTTTCACCTATCCATTAAGTAACTGTTGTTTTTTTTTTGGTTTTTTTTGGGGGGGGGGTTTCTTTCCTGGGCTCTGATTCGCTTCGCAAAAAGTAGAAACAGTTCGAACCACCAATTTCGCTGAAGCAAAAACTCCAATAAAAATATTAAATGCGCATGCACGACGCTTTCGATTCGCGCGAATAAATTCGCCTAGTGGAAAACCGGCTTGACAGAAATTCCACGCGAAATTCGATGAGTCGGATATCTTTAGTTTTTAAGATATTTGATACAGTTCTGTACTAATTTGTATATCCGATTGTATACAGTTTCCATTGTAAAATAATAAAAAAAAAAGTGGCACGTTCCCCCGTGCTCGTTTACGAAAATTGTACGGTGTTGTTTAACTTATACTGTACATGGGGCTGGATCTCAACAGCTTTTTCAAAAGACGGTGTGGTATAATTCAAACTTGCATTTTCAACTGATACACAATAAAATAATTGAAAAATAATTTATTGGATGAAGTTGAGGTTTAATTTATTGTCAAATACAAATGTTATGTTATATGTTATGTTATGTAAATGAAATGTTATTTCCATAAGGCTGATAAAAGCACAAAAATAACATATACTGCATCATAATAATAGTGGGATTATAGTTTAAAGTAAAAATAACAAATGATGTGTGTACAAATAATCTAAAAATATTAAAAAAAATAATAAAAAATATTAAAAGGCCATAAAAATTTTATATATATATATATAATTTAGATATATATGTTT